TGTTAGACTTGAGTATTTATTTAAAGATGGTGAGCAAGTGTTCTCATTAAAATATATTTTAAGTGCTGGTCATTTTCACTGATAAAAAACTAATTCTACAAACATCAGTCAGATTAAGTTTCCTCCAAATTTTATATTCATTTCTCATCAGAAGCCTCCTAAGGGTTCCTACAGTCTCTTCCCTAGGCTTGTATAGGATTTACTAATTGCAAAACCCCATAATAGAGAGTGTTTCAGAAACAAGGGCAAATCAAGTCACTAGGTGTAGATATTCATACATGACTTGTAGAACACAGTCCTGACATCTGCTTTGGGAACACCAGTGAGTGAACCCTAAAGGCAATATCAGCAATATGTCTCCACCGAGTATGAAACCTGGAGAAGAAATCCAGGCTCCGATTTTCACCGTGTTCAGTGCCCATCATGTCCTGCTCTACTTCTGTGTCTTACTTCAGTTGTTCCCCTTCCTCTGCAATGTCACTGCTATCCTCCCGACACACCAAAGAAAATTCTTTTCACCCTTCAAACCAGTTCAATAGGTTCAGATATGTGCATCAGAAGAAAAACATCAGGCAGAAACTAGTTAAAATACTAACATGGGCTAGTTACTCTCTACACTTCAGTTTTTTAAATTATAAAACAGGGATAGTGTCCCTCTTTCATACAATATTTGTTAGGATTAGAAGTAGTATCTATTTCCATCAAGAGTCTAGCAGTGTGTGGCACATTGATTCTGATGAATGAGCTCAGGATGTACTGTTCTGCGTAACTGCCATTGCTGTTATCACTGTCCTGGAGAAAAGACAACTTACTCTGCTATGAGAAGGGGATCTCTAAGATCCCTTTGCCTTTGTCTCTACAAAATTAAGGTCCATGAGATGAACAGCTTTTTCCATCTTCCTCTTATCAGTGCTATAGCAAGACTCAAATTCTCTATCTTGAGAATTAGCTGGGCTAGACAAGGACAGAATAAAGGAGTGAGAAAGGAACTGAGGAAAGAGTGAGAGTTTCACTAATGTGACTGACTGAGTTAGGGAGGGAAGAGGACTGATATCACAGCCTGAGTGTCCCGGTGTGGCCAAGGAGCAGGGTCAGCAGGAATAACATGTGGACACACAGGAGGCTCTAAGCAGGGAGTAGGTTTTCCAAGCGTGCACTTCAGAGACAGATTCTGGGCAATGATGGGGTTGGAAATGGAGACAGGGGCATGAGAGACCATGTGCAGGTTGAAGAAGCAGGGAAGATCAAGAAATTCTGAGTCCAGCCCTGGCTGGTATAGCTCAGTGGATTGAGCATGGGCCTGTGAACCAAAGAATCAGGGTTTGATTCCCAGTCAAGGCACATGCCTGGGTTGCAGGCCAGTTCCCAGCAGGGGACACGCGAGAGGCAACTATACATTGGTATTTCTTTTTTTTTTAAATTATTTATATTATTTAAGGGAGGAAGAAAAGAGTGGAGAGAAATATCAATGTATGTTGCCTCTCATAGTCCCCCACAACCCAAGCCGGCTACATTGGTATTTCTTTCCCTCTGTCTTTCCCTTCCCCTCTAAAGACAAATAAATAAAATCTTAAAAAAAAAAAAAAGAAATTCTGAGTCCAGAGTATCAGGTCATTTATACAGACCAGTGTATAAAAGACTTATCTTTTTTTTTGACCAGTGTTTCTTTACTGGGGGCATTACTGGCCCCAAGGGACACTTGGAAAAATGTACCAGTCCCTCCTATATTTCTCTGTGCCAGAGGTTTCTCCTCCACCCCCTTTTTCTTTTTTGGCTGTCATAACGTCACAGGGTGCTGCCAGCATTTAGAGCAAGGGAAGATGATGAACGCCCTGCACAAGGAAGATCCGCCTCATCCAAAAAGCCAACAGCACCACCACTGAGAAACACTGAGAGAATGAATCTGGAAGCTAAGGTCCCCAGGGGAGGCATCCCGCCGCAGCAAAGGGGAGGACGAGAGAAGAATAGGGTGATTAGTCGTGAGTCTCAAAGCACAGGTTTAGACCTTCAGAACAGGGTGCAAAATACAAGGGATGGGAAACAGCAGAAATGTAGGAAATTAGCATCCCTGACCTCAGAATATTCCAGAGAAGCATGTGCAGAAAGAGCGGGCAGACACCACGCAGAACCAAGATGTGTGTCAAGGGAAAGCCACGCATGTCGAGGGAAAGCCACGTTCAGCTGAAGAGACGTGGGGCTGGGGAGGGCGAAAGGGCAAGAATGTGAAGAAGTTTCTCTACGGAACAGGGAGTTTCCAAGTCCCATTAATCACATCTCAACACTGTCTCAAATCCTTCCCTTCCTTTCCATGCCTGCCGCCCCCCACCCTCAAGAGCTTTCACCTGGGTTCTCAAGAGAGTCCCATGACTTGTCTCCATGCCGTCACTCTCTCACCTTTCCAGTACACCTTTTACACCTTTGCCAAAAGCATCTTTCTGAAATGCAAGCCCGATCATGTCATCCTCCCTGCCTGAAACCTTCAATGGTTTCCATTGTTTATCTAACCAAATCCTGAACTGAGCCTGGCATTACAGCCTTCCACCGTATGGCCCCAACTGAACTGTACCAGTCCCTCCTGTATTCCTCCGTGCCGGACTGCTTGCTTTCCTATTCCCTTTATTCATGTTTTCCTTCTACAATCCTTTGCCTGAATCTATCATTTTCCTTTATGTTCAAGTTCTCCGCTTCAGGTTCACAGGTCCCTCTCTTCTACTACCAGTGTTTCCTAAATTTTCCTGAAGGTAAAAATCACCTGAAATACTTGTTAAAAACACAAATCCCTGGGCTCCATCCCAGACATATTGAATCAGAATCTTTGGGAAGGAGGGGGAGGCAGGGAAGCCACACAGGGTGGTTTTCAATCACGTCTATAACAATCTTTGACATTCCTCCCATTGAAAAGTAGAGTCAAATTCCCCTTCCTCTGAATACGAACCAGCCTTCGTGACTTGCTTATAATGAAGAGAATGCGGCAAAAGTGTGTAACTTCTGAGGCTAGGTCATAAAAGGCAACACATTTTCTGACCCTGATTCCTTTCCTCCTTTGTTCCCTCCCTCCTTCCGTGACTGGACGTTTGCCCTTGGAACGTAGCCAACCAAGCCAAGCAGCCACACGGAGAAGCATGTGTAGGTGTTCTGAGCAGGGCCCCAGCTGAGAGCCCAGATGACTGCCAGCATCAGCCACCTCACTCGTGAGCTGAGTGAGCCTTCAGATAAAACTATAGCCCCCACTCTTTGAGCACCCTGGCTGATGCAGAGGGGAGCAAAGGCAAGCTCTGCCCAAACTGGAGACCAGTAAGCAAAATAAATGTTCTCATTATATGAAGCCACTAAACCTTGAAGATTTTTTTTCATGTAGACTAGATAACTGTAACACCATATTGTTAAGGGGCACCCCATGTGATTAAGATGAAGGAAATCTGGGAATGCTGTTTACAATATAAACTATGCTGTTCAGTTCCATGAGGTCAGGGATTAAGTCTTCAGAGCTCTCCAGATCTTGATCCCTTTTTTCCTGAAATATTGTCCTTAATTGTCTTTTTTAATAATACATGTTTGACATAAAATTACAGCACTATAAAGTGCACAATGTAGAAAGTAAAAGGGCTAGGAAGTCTCACACAGCCTCTACTTTATCTTAAGTGATAACCAAGGCCAACAGTTTGGAAGGGCAGCATTTTCCACATAGCAGGGGCTTGACGGATTTGTCATTGAACAAAAGGCGACACTGTAGATTACAGAACCTCTCATTTAGGCACTTAATAAAATCCTAGACACAGCTCCTAGAATTATGTGCTTCAGTCTTTACCATCTTTCTTCTCTTAAATATAATGTAGCTTCTATGAATTAACAAACTCTACTAGTGAAGTAAAACTACCATCTGCCCAGAGCTCCTCCCCACTACGGCATCTCTATTTGAGCGAAGTCAACGTGTTTGCCATCATGGTTTATTATTTACCATAAACCATTTCTTCAACATGTGTTGAGTGTCTACTATGTTCAAATCACCATGCTACCCACCAGGGATGAAAGCAAGCAGGAAAGATCCTTATATCAAAGAACTCACGGTCCAGAGCAGGAGACAGCAAACTTTTTCTTCAAGGGCCAAAGAGTAAATATTTTAGACTTTGAGGGCCATATGGTCTCTGCAGCGACTCTGCTGTGGTAGCATGAAAGCAGCCATAGATACTACGCAAAGGGATATGGCTGTGTCCCAGTCAAACCTTATTCAGCTCACAGGCTGGTGCTCAATCCACTGAGCCACATCAGCCAGGACCCAGTAGACCTTTATTTACTACTACAATGCAGCCAGAGGGCGACAGATTGCCTAGGGAGTTAGCAATGTTCAATGGAGCTTCACGTAGTGAGGAAATGTTTCTGTGCTGTCCAGTATGGTAGCCACCAGCTATGTGTAGCTATCGGACACTTGAAATGTGGCCAGTGCAGCTGATGAACTGAATTCTAAATATTATTTGACTTTAATTAATTTTCATTTAAATAGCCATATATGTAGAAGCTACCATATTAGACAAGGCAGGTGATGAGTGCACCTTACATTCCATTCCCTTCAACTAAATCAAAACTTGCTTCAGAACATCTCAACCAGGAAGCCTTCCTGACTATGCCCATGATGGTCTCTCTCTCTTATTCTGCATCTAGGCCTTACACCTACTTATTTGAGACTTGCAGACTCTGCATCTAGGCCTTACTCCTACTTATTTGAGACTTGCAGACATTTTGCTCAATAATTACTGTTTTATGATTATCTTCTGCATTTATGACTTTTTTCTTTCCCCAACTAAACAAAAATTGAAAGATAAAATGTGTCCCCTGATTATTATCATAAAATCTCCTTCTCCATAGTGCGTGTATGGTGCTTAAAACCCGAAAGGAGCTCAATAAAGCTGAGTTACAACATGCACTTCCTTTACTGATTTCCCTGACAGGTGGTAATGTTTGCTCAAGACAGATGGTCCTTTTGGACCAGAATCAGCACTTACTTGGAGAATATTTCTACAATAGCTGATGACTTGTTCTTGTTGACAAGAGAAAGTTCTTTGGCCGTTACCCTCAATGAAAGTGAAGTCCATTGCCGTCGATTAAATGCAGTTGATTCCATCTTGTTTACAGATACTGAAATACCTATTCAATAATAAAGAAAGGCAGAATATTAGACACAAAAGAGGATTCCCCAGCATCCAAGTACTGGCAGCAGTGTGTTGTGAGAGAGCAAAGAGAGACCAGCAGGCCATGTTCCTCTATTGGTTCTCTCAAAAACCATAATCTTGGTTAAATGATTCAATATCTTTTGGTTGTAGTTTCCTGTAAAATGAGAAGGTTAGGCCAGATGATCTCAAAGGTCTCTTCCAGTTCCATCATTTTATGACTGACCCTACTGTGCAAACATCGATTGGCCTTCCCCTGAACTTAACTCTGTTCCAAAGTCACATTTGGAGTGAAATGTTCTTCTCTTCTGAATTACATCCCAGGGGAGGTACAATCAGCATCTCTGTGGACTCACAGCCAAATTAGGTACCACCTACATCCAAGTTTCTTTTGGCTGCCCTCTCTCCCCAAGCTCTGCAGCAGTGGCCACTTGTTGTTGGGGAAGGAGCTGGAGACACAGCGTGAATAATACAAAACGCAAGGGCTGTAAGGCGAGATGGACTTCACTTAAATCGTAACTTTGTTACTTTGAACAAATTACATTATCTTTTTAATTTTAGTTTCTTCAGCTGAAAAAATTAGAATACCTACCTTTATAAGGCTTTTGATGTAGATTTAATGAAATAATATATTTAAAATAGTAGGCATGTTATAGTAGTATTAAGAGAATTTTAAATATATTAGTATTGGGTTTTATAATAATTTTAAAAAAGATTTATTTGTTTATTTTTATAGAGAAGGGAAAGGAGGGAGAAAGAGAGGGACAAAGACATCAGTGTGCAAGCGATACATCGACTGGCTGCCTCTCGCACGCCTCTAACTGCGGACCTGGTCCGCAACCTAGGCACACGCCCTGACCAGAAACCGAACCAGCAACCTTTCTGTCCAGAGGCTGGCACTCAGTCCACTGAACCACACCAGCCAGGGCAGTTTTTGTTATAATTCTTATTATTTTAAACCTTTTAACAATTGGGGAAAGTATAATAAACTTTAAATTCAGGGAACTAAAACCTCTATACTTAAATTCTTTCCTAAAATCTTTTCAAGTCAAAGAATGCATAATGCCATGTCCTTGATATCACCTGGTCCTTCCCTTGACTTGATTGGTTTTTTTCCCCCCAATGATTACCAAAGGAGTTCCAACCTTTGTCCAAGAGAGGTGAGATTAGAAACGAGTCAATCATTTTCTTATTTAAAGAGTGAAAATAAAGATGAGAGTACTTCTTGTAACTCTCTGTACGACCACAGAGCATAACTGATCGGGTTGGCAGAACCTTCATTCAGGTACTGCTTCAGTAGCCTTGACAGCAGCGGAATACACGTCCTCCCACCAGAGCAACCTGGGCTTCCATTTCACACTAAAAGTCCTGGGATACAATGTGAGTGATCGGCAACCCTAAAAGACAGTCCTGCTCTTCTATATGTAGCATTTGTTCTTCCAACTAAATCCCTGTCTGAAAACAACACTAGTTGTGATTTTTTGTTTGTTTGTTTACTCATTTGTTTTCATCTCCACGTCAAGAGGCAACACAGAACCCTCTAATGGTAATGGTGCTGGTGTTAGAAACAGACAGACACACCTAAGTGGGTGTTGGCCCCATCACCTAAAGCTGTGTCTGCCCCTAAATCTTAGATTTCTCATAATAATAGTGCTCACTCTATCGTACCCTTGGAGGAACAAATAAAATAAAAAAGAAAAGACCCTTCCTTACCCAGAGTAAATAAGCAATCAGTGTTCTGCTTTTATATGATCTGTTCTTACTGGATAAAAATGACCTTAACTCTATACATGTTCTTTGAATTAACCCTGAATATATCAAATAATATATGATATTTCTCTATTTGCTTTCCAGTTTATTACTGACAAACCCACCATATATTGTCCATCTTTTCTTACCAAGAAAAAGACAATGAAACAACAAACAATTAGACTAAACTTAATTATGTAAAACCTCAGTAATAACCATTTAAGTCAAATTTAGGAAATACCGACCAATACTTTAAGACATTATTTGGTACAGTTATGCTTCCAGTACGGGTATGGGTAAAAATGGCCATTCTACAGCGATCAATTCTGAATCAAAGAAAAAATACACAATACTCTCAAATTTGTTCATAAAAAAGGAAAAGCATAAATGATTTGAGGAACTGAGTGTGATTAAGAAAAAGGGTTTAATTCCCAAGTCTAATTCCAGGGTTTTGATTATTCTCAGCCATAAAATTAGGAAAAGTCAGCACATCTATTCTGGTATAAAGCCAGGGTAAGCACACTTTACACTCGAGGAATAAGGTGGCTCACACGTGACCACATCTTTCTTCACATAAGCTTACTGTTATTTCTCAGTAATATGATTAGCACCCTATGAAACAAATAAAAGCAAGAGTCACCTGGTACCACGTTACTGAGTAACTGCTTCCTACAAGGTGTAGGGAGAAGGCCTTACCCAACAGTGTGCATAATCTATTCGGCTTGCTAGCGTGCACAGAAATAATTACAACAAGAGGCAGAACGTGGTTAGAGGCAATGCATGGTTCAGGAACAGGACCTGATTTTCTGGTTCGGTGGGTACGAAGGGAAGAGACATTAAATTGACTTGCAATTGAGGAACAGCAAAATTTCAACAAGTAAGGGTGGGAGGAGGAAAGTGCGTCTCAGGTAGGGAGAATAGCAACACACCGTAGGGATTTGAAATAGCACAGGAGACTTCAATGGAGTCAGACTGTAGGTGCAAGAGAAGTTGAAGATAAGCTATGGAAAGGGAGACTGGGAAGAGCCTTGAAAATCATGTTAGAGTTTGGGCCATATTCCAATAGTGGACAGAACTAGCCTGTGAGTGAGCTGAGATGAAATCCAGTAATTTTAAGATGCCAGTCCCTGGCACACATGTGACCTTTGTGGCAAATAAAAAATAATTTCCCAGAGACTCATTGTGTGCATTTGTAAGAAAAGAACTCTATAGTGAATTCCCCACAGTCTCTGTGGTGGAACAAAAGTAATTTCTTAAAAAGCAAGTACCATAATAAGGGCCATGTTTTAAAAGATGATTCTGCAGCAGTTTGTAACTCAAGAAGAGCAGAAAAGATTGGAATTTAAATTACTAGTCAACAAGATCCTAAAACCAAGTGAGAGGTAATCAAGGTTTAAATTAGAATAGCTGGGAATAGAAAGGTGGAAAGAGAGAATTGGCTATTCTTAGAATAAAATGAACTTCGGTTAAGAGAAGGAATCAAAGCTGACACTACCAAACTTGAATAATGTTGAATGTTGATGCCATTAGCAGAGAGAGTATATAGGAAGAAGAGGGAGAATGAGTTTTGCTTTACACATGTTGAGATATACATGTCACTAATAAAAATACTAGTGGCTCTGGCTGGTGTGGTTCAGTGGATTGAGTACTGGCCTCTGAACTGAAGGGTCTGGAGACGCTTCAATTTCCAGTCAGGGCACATGCCTGGGTTGCGGGCCATGTCCCCAGTTTGGGGCATGTGAGAGGCAGCCAATAGATGTTTCTCTCTCTCTCTCCCTTCCTTCCCCTCTCTCTAAAAACAAATAGAGATGATCTTTCAAAAAGTTATTAAAAAAAAACAAAAATAACTCTAAGATTTTTAGCCTCAGAGACTGTAAGGACCATGGTGTAACAAGTAAGAAAGGGATGCAGAGAAAGGGGAATCATTTGCTAAGATGGAAGATGTCTTCAGCTTTAGATACATATGGCAGATTTTTACAAGAGAGCAGCTTAGAAATCAAGTAATCAAAACCCCCTTTTTACAGTGAGGAAGTCGAGATACATAGAGGTCCAATAATTTTCCAAACTCACCAGCTAGTTAGTATGAGAGCCAGAGTTCTAATTCCCAGTCCAAACTTCTTTTTTATCACACCAGGTAGGTTGAAGTGGAATACCTAAACGTCCTGTGGATGAATTGTAGCACAGAAATAAAGATCTCTGAACAAAGGTCTTTGAAAGTCTAAGGGTTGGGCAATGACTCACTGGGAAACCTGGCCCCAGGTACGGTTTCCTCAAGCTATTGCTTAGGGTGAGGTCTCTCACTGCTCCAGGAAACCTCTCCTCATAATAAGACTTAAACATACTTTAATATAGACTTACCTAACTAAATAAATTGGCACCCAGAAACCAGACTGGGACAAAAGCAAATGAGCTGCCACTAATAAATTCCTGAATCCTGTTCTCATAAATCCAATCTATGTCACTTCTCTCTCTCTCTCTCTCTCCCTCCCTCCCTCCCTCCCTCCTCCTGAGATGGCTACTTGTGCAAGAGGCGACATTGCCTGAACACAGCCTCAGAAGATGAAAAGGAGCAAAGTATAGTTGATCTTTGAACAATATGGGTTTGAACTGTGTGGGCCCACTTACATGCAGATTTTTTTGAGTAAATAAGGTAAACATATTTTGTCTTCCTTATGAGGTTCTTTTTAAAAAAATTATTTATTTATCTTTAGAGGGGAAGGAAAAGAGAAAGGGAGAGAAATATCAGTGTATCGTTGCCTCTCTTGCGTTCCCTGCTGGGAACTGGCCTGCAGCCCAGGTGTATGCCCTGACTGGGAATCGAACTCAATCCTTTGGTTTGCAGGCCCGCGCTCAATCCACTGAGCTACGCCAGCCAGGGCCCTTATGAGGATCTTAATAAATTTTTTTCTGTAGCTTACTTTATTGTAAGAATACAGTATATAATACATGTAACATACTAAATAATGTTAATTGACTGTTTATGTTACTGTTAAGGCTTTGGATTGACAGTAAAATTTTGAGGAGTCAAAAGTTATCCACAGATTTTTGTGCAGGAGCCAGCTTTTCTCACCCCATGTTGTTCAAGGATCAACAGGACAACTCACTTGTTCAGAGAAAATGTTATAATTTTTTTTAGGAATAAACTGTAGAATTTTTAAGTATTTTTTTTTAAACTAAGAACTCTTCCAATTTGAATGAGAACAGATAAAAGGGAGCAACTAATTAAAA